GGGTGCAGTGTGGGCATGGGCCAGCGAGGTTCCCGTTTGGGCCAGCAAGGCAGGCAAGGTGTCACCAGTCATGGTTCATCCCACCACCCCCACTGAAGGAGGAGGGCAGGCTGGGGCAGCGGAGGGCAGCCCTGTCCATGTGTGCTGTGCTGCTGAGGCTCGACTGAGGCTGAGCTGAGGGTGTAAAGTGGGGTCAGCCCAGTGAGGGTAACCAGGGTCAGGGACAGCCTCATGACTGTTGAGTGACGCTGTAGTGACAAGGCTGTGGAGACCAGCCTGGCAAGTCAGCCCACAGGTGGTCAGGGTCCAGGACAGCAGGGCCCATGGCCAGGCCTGGGCAGGGCTGTGGGGCTGCTGGGGCAGGGATCGATGACCCTGAGAGCTGATACGGGGTATTGAACCATGGCAGGGTGGGCAGGAGCCTTGGGAGTGCAGGCAGGGACAGGCAGGCTGGCAGTGATCGGTGCAGACACTTGGGCATTTCAAACCTACTAGATTCTGCTCTTAACTTTCAGGAGTGCATTGTCTACTTTGAAGTATATTTTTTTCAAAAACCACCTTTATGTTATAAAAATCACTTCAAGACAATAAAAAAATCATTATTAAACAATAACCTTGTACTGCTTATACAGTTCAATTTTTGCTTCTCCTCCAGCCTCACTAAAAATATATGTCACAATAATGAAAAATTCAACTTCATTTTCAAATTACCTAGCACAAATCAGGATAGTCACCCACTACTGTAAAATGTTTATGTTAAAGACAGTCTTTAAAAATACTTCAATTGGTTTGTAGATCATGAAACAATTAATCTTTTTTAAAACTAACCTTATGTCCCTTCCAAATTTGACTTAGTATTGCCAACCCAACCAAAAAATTTATAACTAAATAAAAATCTGTAACTCTTTAAACTAATGTACAGAAACAAATGTTTCTATAAATACATGATCAGCAAAAAGAAGGTTAAAGGAGCATCTCCACCCTTTTTTTAGTCACTATCCCTGGAGGTATTTAAAAGTGGTGTAAGCATGTCACTTAGGGCCATGGTTTAGTGTTGGACTTGGCAGTGTGGGGTTAACAGTTGGATTCAATGATCTTAAAGGTCTCTCCCAATGAACTCACCCAACCTCCATCCTCACACAAAAGGACCTGGGGTTATAGCAGATCACAAACCCAGCAGAAGTTAACAGTGTTGCACTATTGCAAAAAGGCAAACATTGTGCTGACAAATATGGAGGGCACTGGCATGGCTCAAACATATGTTCAAACATATGAAGTAAAGCTCTCCATTGATTCAGGGCTGATGAGGTCTTGCCTGGAGTACTGTGACCCCACAGTGAGCACCCAACTGTTACTGGTATTAGTTTGACTACAGATTTTCATGGGGTAAGTCGGAAATGACACACAAGTACCACCCTAAAAGTAGTTAACTGGATGTTTTCATAAGGACATAGGAGTTCCCTTCCTCTTCTTCCAAACTGTAGCCCTGAAAGATAACCCCTCCCCAGGGTCACAGCAGGATACACAGCTCCCAAAATCAACAGTGTTTCAAAAAATAGTTTGAGGGAGTCCAAATCCTCTGATCACTCATAGTGTAACACAAAGGGAATTTCCCAAGTTCCATTCTTAAATATTTAAACACAGTGAGTCACCTTAATTAAATACAATAAAGAAATATCTTTTTCTGTACTTATCTGTCCTTACTACTGGCTTGAAAAAGCAGGTTGTCAAGTTCCTGGCTGAGACAGAGTTAATTTTCTTCCTAATATCTGGTAGAGTGTTGCATTTTGGTTTTAGTAGGAGAATCATGTTGATAACACTGATGTTTCAGCTGTTGCTCAATAGTGTTCACCCTCAGTCAAGGACTTTTCATTCTCTCCTACTCTGCCAACAAGGAGACACAAAAGAAGCTGGGAGGGAGCATAGTCAGGACAGCTGACATAAAGGGATATTCCATAACATACAACATCATGCTCATTAAATTAAATCAGGGGATTTGGCCACGAGGGCCCAATTGCTGCTCAGGGATGGGCTGAAGTTTGGTCAGAAGGTGGTGAAGAATTATCTTGTGCATCAGGTTTTTTTTTTTTTTTTGGGGGGGGGGGTTTACTCCTCTTTTTTTGTTACCTCACTTTTAATTACTATTATTACACTATATTTTACTTCATTTTATTTATCAAACTGTCCTTAAACCATATGTTTTACTTTTTTTGAGTTCTCCCCTCCCTCTCAGGAAGTGAGTGAGCAGTTGCATAGTGCTTGGTTTCTGGCTGGGGTTAAACCACACCACCAGTCTTCCTTCTAGTCTTTTTTTTTTTTTTTTTTTTCTCTAAGACTGTTTCAAGTGGAGCTTTTCATGTATTCTTAGTACATCTGAGGAGATTTGAGAGAGACAAGAAATACAGAAGGTGGGAAGAAACCATAAGTACTTAGGAAAAATCATGAGTAAGAGTTTTAAAAGTGGTCCAGAAACAATTTGAATAAAAATTAAATGCCTGCCAGAAGGGCAAAAGCCCTGTATTTTCTGTCAGAAACACACCAATAGAGTTCAATGCCCACTAATAATCTGAATGTGGGCTAACATTTACAAAAAATCTCTATTGTGTACACAGACATTACAAATAATTTGGTCACATACATAAGCTTTATTTATAGTCCTACAAATAGGACTATATCATGCCATTATTATGCAAGACAGTCCTCTTTTGGAATAATGACCTTTGACTGCAGATGTAACTGCTGAGCATTACTCCTTTGGACCCCTGAATTATTTTTATGGTTTGAATATTTTGAGGTCCTAGAAAAGCCACTCTAAAATTTCTCTGGATCAAAGATACTCTGTAAAGGCAACAAAAATGCACAACTGAATTTGAAGGAAGGAATAAAGTCTAGAAGAAAAGTAATCACTAATAGCAGACTTGGACAAATAAATCCCTTTTAATCTCATTAAATGGTAAAATGTTCCAGGTCGCAAGTGGAAGATTTTTACAGGTAACAGGTGACACATGACACCACTCATTCTTGTTTCTTTGGTCTTCCTTTTTGAGCTGAAAAGATCTGTTGCCATTCTTACAACTCGTTTATCTCAAAAGATAATTATGATTTAGTTTTTTTAGTGTTTGAACATAACAAATGGAAATAAATTGTATTTTTAAGAAGATAGGGAGGAGTAAATTCACACTAAAAACACAGTAGTAAATGGTTTCTGAATTCTAATTACCTTAAAAAATTTATATATCCCAATAAATTTGACTTTAATCAGCTGTTTCATAACATACCTTTTATAACTTGGGCAAAGTGTTTAGCTGGGGTCAGACCTCTGAGCAGGTACTCACAGTGATTGCACTGACTTTTCACACAAATCAAAGAGGGTTTTTTTATAAACAGTGTTGCAACATGAAGATGAAAATTACATCAGTACACATTACTCTCAGACAAAATATTGCACTAGGTAAGCATTCTATCAGAATGGTTTCAGTGTACTCACAAAAAAAGGAGAAAGGATGTTGCTATGTTGCTTTTCAATTTTGTAACTAAGAGCTGACATGAAACCACATATCCCTGACACTTTCTAAAAGTAATATTCAGGACTTGGGTGGGGAGGCAGGTATTTAGCTAGTTAGAGAAATTCAAGGAAAGCTAAATAATTGATCAGAAAGATTCCAGATTTAAAGTTTTGAAGAAACTTTTCATTTTTGTTTACTGCCTTCCATAATACTAAGATGGTGAAGCATGGGACAAATCTGTTTACTGAATTTTCTGCTGACTTGCGAAGTCAAGTTTCCAGAAATAGAGACTTGGAATGCTTCCAACTTTCCTTTGTTAGTTATCTGCAAATAAACTTCTCAGAGCTACTTAATAGGAAATTCGGTAATAGCCAGATTCTGTGGAAGTATTTTTTTTAATAAAAGATTATGTAGTAGTATGGATACAAGGCCTACTGATTAAATGCGAAGAGGTAAGTTTGAAAGAGCTGCAAAATCTGTATCCGTTCATTGCTGCTTGACAACAGAAACCAAACCCTTCTAAATTAATCCTCTAGTCACACATTTAAAGCTGTGAAAATTCTCCAGCAGGAGTATAGCATCCATATGGAAATTATTTTTGCGTACATACATGAATTTAGATGAATAAAGCCAGAGTCGTGCAGTACACAATGGGTTGTATGCAAAGAATTTCAGAGCATACTGAAAACAAACGTCAGGGCTAGCGGTACAAACCAGCTAAGCACCTGCTCTGCCCCGGTGCTCTCCATCCTGACCAGGCATAACCCCAACCACCGCAGCTGAAGCCAACCCACAGCTAATTACATCAAACATGTGCTCCTGACTGTACGAAGCTATGCAGTCCGTCCCCTTCGGGAAAGATTGGATTTCATGACCATTTAAATAGCAGAAGGAAAGTGAAACTTGAACGTGACTCAAGCGCAGAGGCCCGGTTGCTGCGTGAGGCCGCGCCGGGGGTCAGCGGGGTCCGGGCCGATGGGGTCCGGGCGCGGCGCTCGGCAGCCCCCGCGCCAAGCCCGGCGTGACGAGGCAGAGCGGCGCTGCGAGCCCCCGCAGCAGGTGATCCCAGACCGGCCTCCTCCTGCGGGCGGCCTCTCCGCCGCGCTGGAAGGCAGCGCAGCCCGCATCCCCGCCGGGCAGGGCTGCGGCTCCGCGCCCGCTGCGGCTCCGCGCCCGCTGCGGCTCCGCGCCCGCTGCGGCTCCGCGCCCGCTGCGGCTCCGCGCCCGCTGCGGCTCNCGCCCGCTGCGGCTCCGCGCCCGCTGCGGCTCCGCGCCCGCTGCGGCTCCGCGCCCGCTGCGGCTCCGCGCCCGCTGCGGCTCCGCGCCCGCTGCCCTGCGCACCGGGCGGCCGCCGGCCGCGCGCGGAGCCGCCGGTGACTCAGCGGCTCGCCGGTGACCCCCGCCCGCGGCGGCGGCGCCTCGCCACGGCTCTGCCCCCTCCCTCTCTGCCTCCCGCCCTCCCGGCAGGATCATCCCACCCCGCCGGGCGGTCACCTCAGCAGGAGGAGCCGCCGCCACTTTGCCTCCGCTCCCGCAGCGACCTGACTGCAGTCAGCCCCGCCGCGCCGCACCATGCAAGCACGGAAGGGAGACGAGAAGAAGCGGGACGCCGCCCGGCCCCTGCAGCTCACCATGAAGAGGGGCTACGAGGTGCTCCGCGACCCCCACCTCAACAAGGTAGGGGCGGGCAGGGCAGGTGCGCCGCTGGGCGAGGAGGGCGGCCGCGCTCTCCGTCGCCGCGGGCGGCGATCGGTGCTGCCGGGCGCTGCCGCGGGCCGGGGCCGGCTCCGGCCGCCGCCACCTGTCACGGCGCAGCTGCCGCCGGGCCGGGGGCGGCGGGCGCGGGGCAGCCGCACTTCCTGCGGGCCCGGCGCCGCTTCCTCTTCCTTCGGGCGGCGGGGGGCGGCCGGTGCCCTGCCCGCCGCCGCCCAGCGGGCCCGGGCCGCGGAGCCATCCCCCGGCAGCCCCCAGGGGACAGGAGCTGCGGCAGCAGCAGCACGGGCAGGAGGATGCTGCTGAAAGTTACGCCGCTCTGATGCGAGTTCCTGCTGCCGTGCTTCCCGGTGCCCTCTTTCTTTTCCAATCCTCTTTTCCACGGATACTCCACCTCGTTTCCTGCGGGCAAAAGTGGCTGTTGGTGCTGTCCTGCGTTTTGTCCCCTGGCAGGGTGTTTATCACAGCTGTTCCTCTTGGAGCTCTAATATGCAACTGCAGGTTCTCCTCGCTCTGCATCAGCGAATGCAGGCAGCTTTTCTAAGAGATGCCACAGCACAGCAAAACCCTTTTGATGCATTTCCAGTTTGCTTAAGAACAGTAATTCAGCTTGATCAAACTTTTTAAATGAGTAAAACTAATCTGGGAAACATAAAACTGAATAGAGAAGTGCTTGCACAACTGCCTTGAAAAATATGCAAAGTTCATATAATAAAATAATTAAATTGGCATGACAAGCCCCGAATTTACTGCCAAAATGAAAATTGGTTAAAGGTAGATAATAAACCACATTTAGCACATGAAGCCTTGGTCACACCCTTACCTCCAAATTTCACCTTGCACATTAACTGGAGTGGCGCTCTGACTTGTACGTCTGCATTAGGATGTATATACGGTCATTCTGCTTATTGCCGAGTTGGATAAATTGACAAAAACTGTGTCTTTAATTTGACTAGACAGGTTGACTCATCAGTAAAAGCTCCATGTGTAAGTTAGATGAATAGTGCTTTTATTAGTCTTGGTGCTTGACTACATAGTTTCCTTACAGAGTGTCTTAAGTCTGTGTAGGCCTGAGAAGGTCTCCTGAGGTCAGGTTAAAGCAAAATTTACCAAAATATAAAACTCCCAAGAAGAAACCAAGGAGAGGCTGTTTTGCTTGGGTTTGCGTTTAAGCAGCTGTATTATTAATGGAAAAAGTCTGATTCAGCATAACCAGGAAGGCCAACCCAACAGAAAACTCACCTTGTTTAAAGAAATAAAAGGGGGCCTGTTCTAAAATGCATTGACTGAAGGGCAGTCAGAGGCAGACTCATTGCAATGCTCACACACCTTACATCTTGCCTCTAAACAGCATGCAGTAAGGATGGGTCATCACAGATTAGGTGCTAAAGAGGAAGAGTTTTGCTTGATCTTAATTTACAGAAGACAAGAGTTACACAATATTCTGAGTTCAAAGAGGTCCACAAGGATTATCAAGTCCAGTTCTTAACTGAATGGCCTGTGTGAAGATCAGACTGACAACTTTGGTGGGTTAGCACCATGCTTTTCCTAGGTTAGGCTTTATTCTTTCATACTCTCACAGCTGTGGTATATCACATGTGTACTGTAAAGCAGAGAAGCAGGAAAAAATAGTTGTTTATTACCGGCTGCATTTACCCAGTGAACAAAATTTGATGTTAGAAATGCTCAGCTGAAAAATCTAGTGTTTGTGCCTGTGATAAAAGTCTGGTCTTGGTCTGTAAAAGGATAGGTAATCCTGTTTTCTGACTGAGACAGGTGATTTTTTTTTGTGGGTGTAGATGTACTACACCCCAATATATGTATATACACCCACACCCTAATATGTGTATATTTGATTCTGTATAGATGCACTAAACTCCAATATGTTGAGGACTGCCCACATGGTTGCCAGTTTGATAGCTTGTGGCCTGCCTGCACACATGGAAGCTGCTAGTCCCAGTTCACTTTCTATTGTCAAGGCCGTTAAAAAAAGCATCAGGTTGCTGAGAATTCAATTTAAAGTAGATAAAATATCTCCTTTAGTGATTCTAAGGTACAGGGATTTCTTGCAGTCCTGCAAGATGCCAGAACTTTCTGCTATCTTGGCCTTGTCAAGGAGTTGCAATTTCTTAGGATTGGTGCTTTCTTTTAGATATGGTGCCAGTTTTAAGAGGTCTATTTGCACTTAAGTGGCAAAAGTAGACTGTAAGTACTACATAGTGGTCTCTACCAGTGACTTGTAGAAAAGGAAGGCAAATTATGTTTTCAGGGTCTCTTAAGACAGATACCCTGGCAAGCAGGTAAAACTGAATTGTGCTTCAATATGTGGAAGCTTGGGGCCTGTGTCCTCATTCCTTTTCTCAGACAAATTGAAAATTTTACATGGAACTATTAATACTTGAACATCTTTTAAAACAGATGTAAGAAGAAATAAGTGCTAGGTTTAAAAAGAAAAATCCCTAGTCAAAACAGAAAACCCAGTCCCAAAACCCTATTTCTATTTAGGTGCTCCATTCAAGTGCCCCACTCATTCAACAATAAAACTGGATTTCTGCACGCTTGTCCATTGCGTTTTATACTTACCCTTCCTGGCTTTTGAGAGAAAAGGATGTGTGAATGCCAGGGTAAACACCCAAATTTCTTCTGCTTGGCCTCTACTTCTAATTGGATGGCGAAATAGACTCCCTAGGCAATGTCATTCTCAAATCCTTTATGTTTGACTATGCTAGTAATTCACAAACATGTCCAACCTTCAGCAGGAAAAAGTTCAATAAAAAATGTTTGGTGGTTTTGTGATTTGTTTCCCCTCCCTCCCCAGCCCCTGTAAAGCATTTTAGGTCCCCGAAAGGTTTGTGCCATCTCAGCAGCAGTGATACATCAAAAATCATGACAAACAGTGGATTGTAACAGACTGAATTTAATTACTTGAGGATGTGTGTCCAGGTCTATAGACAATAATTGTAATTCAGTTTATTGTCTGAAATTTTAGGCTGTTAGTGTTTAGAAGCGTATTTAGAACGGTTCTAGTAATTGTCTTTTTCCCTCAGGCAAACAAAACACATTGTAAATAGCAATTGCAAGGAAAACAAACACAGTTTCACTTCTTTTCACTGAAATAGATTTGGCTGGGAGTTGTATGCTCTTTAAGCTGATGAGCTGCAGAAGTGTGGAAGTAATTTGCTCTTTCCCTACTGTAAATCTCATTTATGCTTTATTCAAGTGGACAAGTTTATAATTTCAAGGCGCACAAACAGTTTAACACTACAGTTTCATCTTTAATTTTTTTACCTTTTAATATTTAAGCAAATCACATTTTCCCATAAGCTGGTTATTTTCAGAATCTTGGTGCAAAGATAGAAAAACACGCGTTTCGAAACAAAACTTCCCCAATAGCCTCTATTAGTTGCCAAATGTAAACTCTTCCCCGACTGAGAAACTTTGCCGTTGGAGAAATGCTTTGTTTCCAGACTGCTTTTATGTTCTTGCAGAGCGATTCAGTGAGCAGTAAATAAGTGACTCTATTAAATCTAAGTGCTGGAGGGCTCTTTCTCCTCTCCAGATGTCTAATTTATCTACTGAGTGACCACTGTTGTCATTGCTGAGTATAATGTGCTTGTAAACTGTTTTCTTTCTCCTTTTACTTTCTCTTTATTCAAGTTGCACTAAAGTGCTGTAGAATTACAGAACAGACTGTCTGATAGGGCTGCTCAATATCTGAGAGCAGTCAGTGTCCATCCCACCTGCAACTGCATTGGTATTTTACCCTTTTATTTTATCCCAGATGTGATGCCCCTGAACTCTAGCAGGTTCTCACTTAGTGACATTAGTTGTTGGCTGGAGTTGATTGTCAGTGCATTGACTTACTATGGGATTTACTGGAATAGAGCAAAGGTCCATTCATCCCAGTGTCTTATTTGTAACAGTGGCTCAACTGGAACCCTCAGGAGAGGGAGAAGAGTGAAGGTGTGTCTGGTGAATAATCAATTCCAGGCTGAGGGAATGAGCAAGTAGTTAGAGGGTTATTAAGTTATGAACATATGTCTCTCCTATCAGTTTACACATGTGAGGTGTACTAATTTACTAAAAATCAATTGCAGACTTCTTAGAGAGACTCATGGACTTCCTATTTTGCTCTGCATTTTAGACAGTGGGATAAGAATGCTTGTGGAATACAAACAGATTTTGTTCTGTGCACAACTAGTTGCTTCTCTAAAAGAAAATTTGTTTTTTTAGGTGACATATAAAAAGGGTCTTATGACTTTGACACTAGTGGGCAACCCTGCAACAGGTCTCAGAAAAACCAAACCTCAGTAAAAAAATCAGAAGTATTCCAGGGAGATTTTCTCTGTCTGATGGGTAAAATAGAAGAAGCATGTAAGAACTTCCTTTAAATAAATCTATTCATTTATCAAAAACAAGCAATAGAAGACTGTTTTTCCTTCTACACATAGTGTGTGTATTTTCACATCTTAAACTTGTGTATGCTTTGGGTGGGTCTTCTGGAGTGGCCAATGCCCAAAGAATGCTGCTGTTGCCTTACCTGTAGATAGCTATTCTGGAAGAAAGCTGATGACACTGGGGATGGAGGAGAAAAACACTTATTTAAATTGCATATTAGAGTTATCTATAATTAATAATTAATTTGTAAGATAGATTTTCTGGAAGTTATTTTATATTGCAAGGGATTATTTAATTTTAAGTGGTAGTAGGTATGAGAGTTTTCGGTGAGAAGACTGTTGGTTCCATGTGAAAGTAAAGGTATAATTTGAGGAATTCTTTTTAGTATCATAGCTGATCACTCTTACTGTGTTCTGCTTTCTTTTAAGACTTTGAAATTTTTAAAAGTAACAGTTCTTGGTTCTTATCCCTTCC